ATCCTATAATGTAAGGAAAGGCGATTTGTTCTGTACATTTGCGTTCTACCACACATTTAAAAATCGGCGGCTTTATTAGTGAAGTGAAACCTCGAAAGAGATATAGTGGACATTGACGTCAGAAATGAAGGGAAATGGATGATGAGACGCTAATGTCAGCCCATGTGACCGACCGAACAATCGAGCGTGAAGGTAGGTTACTGTTCACTCATCGGCATTTCTAAGTATATTTGGTTTCCTAAATAGCATCTGCTACTAAGGGGAGATGGGAGTAGTTGAAACCGTCAAACGCACCAGGCGATGCCACAATATCAGGGAGGTAAGCCAGATATGCACATAAAAGGTGGAAGATAGGCGTATTCCTAAGCACATTGATGCCTACATTCTGGCTGACTAACCAGCTATATGTGGGCGAGGAAGAATTATAATTGGTCCGCTGAATATAGTCAGCAAGTCAGGTAAACGCACTTTTGCCAAACCTACGACATTGTCAAATATGTTCGTCTGAGCAAGTAATAAAATCTGCTGGCACCGGAACTATAAGTCCTAACAAGCAAAAAATCTCACCGGATATTAAGTCCTCAGTAATCGTGATTAGATCATTGTAGTCTGCAAAAGCCATATAAAACTCGCACGAAGTAAACTCTGGGTTGTGAGTAAGATCAATCCCTTCGTTGCGAAAGAGTTTTCCAATCTCGTAAACACGCGGCATCCCACCCACGACAAGCATCTTGAGGAAGAGTTCAGGCGACACACGCAGGTAGAGGTCTAGATCCAATTCATTGTGGTGTGTGATGAAGGGCTTGGCAGCTGCACCACCAGGCAGTATACTCATCATGGGGGTTTCGACCTTTGATTAAAAAGTAAAGGATACTACACGAAATGGCTGAGAAGTCCCAAGTTTTGATGTGACAAACCCAACAAAGAGAAAGTAAGAAATCCAGTAGAGCAAATATCCCCTACTTCAAGCTTATAACAGTCAAAGTTACTAGCAATTTGCATAAGCCCAATTGGCACATTTATGATTTTCGTGGACTTTGGGAAAAGAATGATATCATTAACTAAATTTAGTAGTCATAAGTAAGTTAGACCTAATGGTAAATAGCGTCGAATTTAAAGCTAGATCCACACTAGAGATACCTACGTCCACCATGACTG